AGACCTCTCAATTCATTTGACTGGGAAATAGACCTTCGATTGAAATACCAAACAACAAAAGGGGTTTTCTGAAAAAAATGGCCATTGCATACTTGCAGCCAAGCTTGTCCTCGTCAAGTGAGTGCCTAGTTGGCGGTCTACTCATCATCCAACTCAGCCAAATTAGTCTTGGTATTCTATTTAGTCCTAATTCGCACAGACCAATACAAGTTCATGCACTAGAATAAGAGTTTTTCAAGTTTTTCACTAAATTACACCCATTTTACAAGTTCGTGTATCATAAGCACAATTTACTCTATAAAATTTGATTATTAAAAATATAGTTCGTCAAAATTAGCACCTTAATTAAAGTCAATAATGTATTTTGTGAAAGCCAGGAGTATTTTTAATGGTATATTATTTACATGTGTTTTATGATAGTTTAAAATATCAATTTCTCAATACCTACTTTTTTAGGAAAATAATTTTAATTCATTTGTTTGTGTTCTTGAATAATTATTATGAACTCGGTTTCATTTATCATCCATTAGCTAGACATGTGTCCATAGTTTTCTTCTCTTTTTCACAACATAAATAAATCTGGTCTCTTCTTGGGACATATAACGCGTGCACTTAACTATTACAATCACATCATACAGTTATTTTCATGCCGTTTCTAAAAAAAAATTCATGCCCCCAACATTGAAAAATAATTACTATTATCATATATAAATTTTTTATTTGATGTTCTTTAACAATTGTATATATAAGTTAAATTTTCAATGAGCAGCTCATATAAGCTACTCCCTCCGTCACAAAAAAGACAACATAGTACTAGGATGTGACACATTCTAGCACAACGAATCTAAACGTAGAGTATGTCCAGATTCGTTGTATTAGGATGTGTCACATCGTAGTACGAGGTTGAGTTTTTTTTGGGACGGAGGGGTAGCTTAATACTAGCTATGATACGTTGTATATATATGTTAATACATGGAAACAAGTAATCAAGTTATGACACATGGGGGTTTCAGTTACACAGACATGGAACAGTTCTAATGATCAGGTGGATTAATTCCCTGGAAGCTGCGGCCACGGGAAGTCTCTCAATTGATGTTTCATTTTTTTCACCTCACACGTACGTATTGCTCCAGTTTATCTTCATATCCAACCCTGTCACGTGGTCCAATAATCCAAATCCGCCAAAACGGCCGGCTTGAGATTAGTTGATTCCTGTCCTAGCTAGTGCTCCTGCGTGCCACATTCTACATGTGCTCCTGCGTGCAAGATATTTATGATAAACAGTTGCATTAATAATTATGCGTACGTGACAGTGATACATACCTGCAGATCGATGACCATTATATTGGTCGTAATTAACTGGGATCAAGAGTTCAAACGGATAGTTCTCTCCAAGGAGAGGCTATGGGAAAAGAAAGCTCTGCCTAACCTTCACCAACTGTACATGCATCGATCGGATGGTGATACATGGCCGGAGTACTGCATACGGAGTACGTATTTGATTGTTAGTGTCAGAACGTAGGAGCAGCATATGGCAAATGACTAGTTGTCAGTCGAATTTCGGAGGGGTGAGGGGTAAAAGATTTTGCTACTTTCTACCAGAGGAAGGGTCGTTGTGAGAGGAATTAAGGGCCTTGTTTAGTTTCTAAAATAAAAATTTTCACTTGTCATATCGAATATTTCGATACATGTATAGAGTATTAAATATAGACGAAAAAAATCAATTGCACAGATTGTATATAAATTGCTTGACAAATCTTTTTAGCCTAATTGCGTCATGATTTCACAATGTGTTGCTACAGTAAATTTTTACTAATGACGGATTAATTAAGCTTAATAAATTAGTCTCGCAGTTACCTAGCAGAATCTGTAATTTGTTTTGTTATTAGACTACATTTAATACATCAAATGTGTGTCTGTATATCCGATGTGACACGTGGGGGCAAAATTTTTGCCAACTAAACATGGCCTAAACGGATGTGGCACTTGGTAAAAAAGATGAATGTGGCAAACAGTGACAAAAATTTAAAAGTCCCTTCACCTAACAGGAATTGCAGTAGGAAAAAAAACATTTATAATGGTTATCTATCATTATAATAAAACACTTACTAGATCTGTAGTTCTCCCTCCATTGTTTTATATTAGAAGTCATTTAACTTTTTTTAAGTCAAATTAAAGTTATTTAGATTTGATCAAAATTTTAGAAAAAAATAGCACTATAACACCAAATTAGTTTCATAATATTTAACACTTAAAATATTTAGATATAATGTTTCTTTCATGTTGAAAATATTACTTTATTTCCCTACAAACTTGCTCAAACTTAAGTTTAACTAAGAAAAAAAATCAAGTGACTTATATAAAATGAAATGGAGGGAGTATGTATATATCTCTTGCTATATATGTAGGATTTATCTACTTTTCAGTCGATGTATTATAACTCAATAATCATTAGCAATATTTCTTACCTATACAAAGTGCTTTTCTGATGCATGGTGTGTTCCCAAAAGTATGTGTTAACTCCAAAAAATTTCATACCTTTTCAAATATAGTTCAACTCCTGCTTTGGATCAATTGTCAATATATACAGAGTATATTTCACAAAACTACATATTTTTTTCCATGTTATAAAAACCGTACACATAAATTTTGATACTTGTCATTAACTACATATTTTTTTTTACTGAAGTTCCACACTGTCAACTAATGAGTCCACTCGTGAGATGACATGTTTGTTTATCTGCATATATTTAAGATATGGATGTGGCATCATGGTTGTCCCACCTAGGATGAAGCTCCCAAGTCTGCCTCATACATGGAACAGCTATCTCGTCGATGCACCCATTTTGTTGATAATGTGGTTTTATGAAACTTCAATACCAACATATATATAGTTAAGTATCAAGTGTCAGAGCGTGTGTAATTTTCTACAACTTGACCATAAAATATGTAGTTATGTGAAATTTACTTAAATTTACTTGTTTATCTTTTATGCATAGATTGGTCTATTCACCTGATTACGGGGTAATTACTGCTTTTGAATCTGGATCACAATAAGATGCCCACCTCTTTTCCCCTCACGTTCTATCCAGCTAGCTAGGGTTTGGCATGCCGCCATCACCTTCTATCATTGAATGATCGACCCCTCTGCCATCGTCTCACTCAACTATTTGTGAACCTTAATTTCTTTACATGTTCTTCCTGTTGCAATACGCAATACACGGGCACTTTGCTTGTAATAAAAAATTTCATGTCTGTTAAGTGTATCGACAATACACTCAAGGATAATAAGCCTCTGACCGATACTCAGGGAAAAATAAACTCTAATTTATAAATGTTTTTTCAGTCCCTGAGTAAAGTGTTAAATATACACTTTCGGTAGCCTCTGACCGTATCGTCGTGAACACAGTAAGACCGTCCAAGAAGGAAAGATATGTTTGGTTGCTTTGCCCAGCTAGCCTAGCTCCGTAAAGCTAAACCATCACATTACCAGCTTGCTAGCCTTGCCGTACATATTGTGTTTGGTTGGTTTGCTTCATAGTGCACGGGCAGAGTTTTACCGTTGAAGGCTAGCCGAATCGGCTCTCCCGAGCCAGTGAGATTTTTCTCGCCCCGCATGGCTAGCTTGCTCATAAAAGCTAGCTTTTTTAACCGGTTCCAAACAACTAGCCTTTCTAGGTAAGGCTAGGCTAGCCTTTGCCGAGGAACCAAACGGAAAAGATTACTGATGAGTAGACCAGCGGCATAGCTAGGTATCAACTACTGTACACCTCCATGGTTGGGCGATGTCAAATTATGTGTCATCGCCGTTCAACGTTTCTGCATGCCTTTATCATTAACTTAGATGATATGGGCAGCATCTCAAGCCCCCCGTTTATAAACAAAGCGTCTCCTTTATCTATGTTTCGATGGACTGAGATAGATGTTATGGACTACTTTTGGACCGGCATCATAGACGAGTCATCTAAAACAGGTCATTTTGACCTAGATAGATCACCCGTAATGGATGTCCGGATCTATAGTAGTTGTAAAATGTTAATGAAAGGTGTATGTGTCAATAATCTTAGAACATCTCAGAGGTTGGGATTGGAAATTTTAACTTTTTGCCACTATTAGGTTTATCAATTATCCAAATACCTCTCTTAAAATTGCACACATTTTTTTGCCATTCTTAAAAGGTGATTTCTTAACTATTTGTCACTTTTGTTCACGTGGTATACCAACATGGCAATGAGGGGTGAAAAATTATGGAGACCCACTAGTCAATCTCTCTCCCCTTCAGGCGCCCAAAAGTTGTGCACGTCCACATCCGCGCGCCACAGCCACTGTCGTCTTTGCCGATGTCGCTGGCACTGGATGAGCTGCTTGCAGTGCCAGAGGAGACGGAGCTGTGGCGGGACCTCAAGGTCACGACGCGGTGCCTGGCAATGGTGCTGGCCTTGTGGCTGCTACTGCATCGCCGCCGCTCCTCCTGCTCGCTATGATCACGCCTTGCACGTTGTGTGGCAGGTCGCACCCTGCGGCATGCACGATGGCGATGGCGGAGCAAGAGAGAGGGAGAGATGAAGGGGGAGTGACTGACTAGTGGACCCTCCACCATTTTTTATCCTTTGTTATCACATGAGCAAAAGGGACAAATAATAACCACCGTCTAAAAGTGGTAAAAAAATATGTACAAACCAAAGAGGGTTTTTGAATAATTGACAAATTTAATAGTAGTAAATTGTTAAATTTCCCTGAGATTGCTAGTGCATTTGGGTTCTAATTTCGGGAAGGTTGAGATTGCTAGTGTATTTGGGTTTTGGTTTCTGGAGGTTGATGGATGACGCCTATTTAAAGAGAGCAGCTCTTTGTAGCTGGGGCACATTATTCCTCCCATCTCACATCTGAGAACTTCTGAAATATACACTCCTCCCAGCCATCTACAACGAGGTTTACTTAACCAAATTTCTCTTCAAAGTATACAAGTTAAGTTACTGTGCTGATTAGTCCTTTCTTAATTACATTTTCATCAATATCTGTCTACTCGCTTTGGTAAAAGAATGATTTTATTAATACGATTTTAACTACTGAGTTATATATATTGTTAATATTTATAGAACGCGTGAAACTAGTATTATGAAAATACTTTTCAGAAAAATCTAGCTACATGTAAATATGGTTCTTAGGTTTCTATTGTATTTGAATATTTCATAAGATACACACACACACAAAGTCCGACAGCATGTTTGTCAAAATGACAAAAAATATTTAGTTTTGACTAAAAATGTGACATCTTTCGTAGTTCCATTGTTAAAATTAAAATTGTGTGGTTTCTACATTATTTTCTCCTATATACCACTAATCTAGGGCTGCAAAATAAGTTCTGTATGCAGCTGCAGCACATGAATATTGATATACGTATTTGCTGAATAATTAGTCCATTCTTGATCTATGTGTGTACTACCAAGTAGAACAGAGAAAAGGCTTTCCTCCCTGGTTCATTTTTAAAATGAAATAGATAACCTTTTTTTTAATATGAAGTTAGATGAACTTACAGAGCTGGACGAGGTTAATAATTAACATTGTTACTAAAGATATTTTTATTTACAATAATTTACATGTCTGAATATAGGTTAGAATCGCCAGCACTATGATTAATCGTGAATTTTCCAAATGACTTTAGATGGAGAGAAAAAAATATATAAAAGCAAATCTTCCACTTTTATAATTGATGACTTTATTATGTGTTTAAAGTCATTTTTCTACAACGAAAGTATAACTCCCCATCTTCGCATCATCTAAGAATGCAAACAACATCCTCGTGGATTCCATAATTTAAACCCTGCAGGTGGACAAAGACACATACATCTTGTTACTTCACCACCACACATTTAATTCCATTGGTGTTAAATATACATTATAAGTTTTGCACAAAAATAAAAAACATAAATAATAGAAGAGCTATATAGGTTAGATAAAAAGAAGTTTTGAACCTTTTTTAATATTAAAAAGTTTGAGTCTTAAACCGAAGGCAAAAGCTAGCAACTGTGTCAGTTTTGTAGCCAGCAGTAATACTCGGTGGTATATCTCATTGTCCACGTTCAAAATTTTGACAGTGGCTTAAAACAATTTGAGAAATTGTTTTAGGACAATTTGAAACAATTTGAAAGGACTTGTGCATATAGTATATCTGTAGTAGAGCAAACGTATAATTAATATATTAGCTATTATCTAAAATGTTTTTTTTGGGGGAAAAGGGAACATTATGGTTATGGGACAGGAAAACCATCAACGACGGGCTGTGCATCCGGAGGACAGCAAATGGACGGAATATTTTATCAACGCACCTGCGTTGTCTTGTTCGTGCCAGGTATGCATTCCATAGGTGCATCAGCACCAACACCGCGTGCACCAAAAATTTGAACAACCAATGGTGTTAACCATAAGATGTTAATCGTGCGATGACAACTAATATTTAATATTGTAGATATTACAATTTATAGAGGTCACCGAAGCATTTTTTTTGGGTCATGTAAACCAATTTTAATTATTTTAAAACCAAATCCTAAAATAAATATTTCTAGATATGGTGTAAAGGAGCTTGATCTATCGCTGTTTATATGGTTTCCATCGTCAAAATCTATGTGGACACAATTGTCGAGTTGCCCGTCGTTAGAATCACGATAGACAACACTAGTGTTAACTTCATCGATGGCCAGATGGGTACCAGGTGATCAGATGCCCTCCCTCTTCTTTTTCGCAGTGATAACCCACCGCGTTCCCATGTGTTTGGAGTGCTGGAAAAAGAGAAAGCTTCATTTCCTTTTCACTCTATGGCTCTACCTCCCTTTCCTAGCCTCTCGGGACCTAATAAATTAGATTTTTTAAGAGAAAGAGAGCTTTTACTAATTTTAGATAATTACACCAAGATGATAAAAAACTACTCCTAATCTTCATAACTTACATAGCCTATAATTATTAAAAGAGAAAAAAAAGACATAACAATAATATTCATACAACAATAAACTATAAACACAATTGATCTTCATCCTCGAATTCTATCGAAGCAAAAAATCTTAGACTAGATAGAATAACACTCTCCTAAAACAACGACACTACCTCGACTTTAGATACAGCTACCGCCACTAGATCTGGCCACCAAGGACCCATATAAATCTCGACCATCGGCGCACCCTAGAATAGGAAGAGACCGATATTAGTGATGAAACCTTCTGCTAGAGCCAACGGTGGGATCCATCTGAGAATGGCATAAAAAGGCTCCAGTGCCGCGCCAAAACCCACTCTGAGCGTGAGGAGGCATACATGTATGCAATCGAGTGGCCTGCAACTACCTTCATCATTCGCCACCAAAGAGGCGGTAGCCAGATTTTCAGAAGCCGATGGCAGCGCTTCTGTGGAAAGACATCCATATCCAGACTGAAGATGTTGATGCCTTCATCAAGGACCGCGGTGATGGTCTAGGGCAAGGGTGTTAAGTGTCGAACTGATTTCCCCTGTTGTGTCTTTTCGTCCATATATGTGTGTTATTGTTGTTAAGAATTGGATTAATTTTCTCTTGGCCAAACAGGACATTAAAACATATTGAAACATATTGTACCTATGGGTATTTTCTCAAGGACCAAAAGAAATAACTTTTTTGGTTTAGTTAGTGTTATCAATTTTGCATATTTGATCCGACATACATGATTCTATATTATGCATGGCAGGTAGTATGGGGGTGATCCCATTTAAAACTCTGATAAACTTATGTGGGACCAATATGCAATTTACTCTTAATGTGGTGAATTCTAGAAGTGCCTTCAATTAGTGTAAAGAAGGATGTTTATTACTTTCTCTATTTCCATAATTCTTGATGATTTAGACAATGACATGGTTTACAAAATATATCTTTGACTTTGTTTTTCTATTATAATATATACAATAACTAAATACATGTTTTTTTCTTATAGTACTTTGAAAGACAAATCTATATATGTTGTTTAGTTCCTTTAAACTAAAATTTTTTAAAGTTATTGACAATCAAAACTACAAAAGTAGGATCCAAAACATCAAGAATTATAAAACCGGAGAGTAGGATCCAGTCTCCGTAACTATATTTGTGTGCTTTGATCAATTAGACGCTAGAGGAATCAATCAAGGAGAGGCGAGACAAGCTTGTGACCAAGGTTCATTGCATGATCCAAGGATACACATCTAGCAAGATTCATCTGTCACATGGGATGAAGATCGTCGACGCTATAGAGCGCCTCGGTGTCGGTTACCATTTCCATGAGGAGATAGGCATGTTCATGCGAGTCCTAAACGACACTCCTGCTAGGGAGAATGACATGGCCGAAGCTGCTCTTCGGTTCAGGCTGCTGAGGCAACACCACTACAATGCTCCTAGTGGTACGTACACACACGAATTGAACTCTTCGGAATTAAATCTTGCAAAAAAATCTTTTTGGAATGTGAGTTAATATTGCAAAACCAATGATATATAATTTGTGCAACTAACTTATGTAAATCGATTGATCGAACCAGATGTTTTTGGGTGTTTCTTGGACAAGAATGGAGACTTCAAGGAAACCCTGCGACATGACGTTGATGCTCTTCTTAGCCTGTATGAGGCAGCTCATCTTGGCAAGTGCGATGAGGACTTGCTCAAAAGTGCCGTCGTCTTCACTACCGGCTGCCTCTCAGCCATGGCAGAAAATGACCAATTGCCCCAGCCTTTATTAGAGAAAGTAGAGCACGCACTGACCTCGCCGACGCAAAGGAGGATGAAGAGGCTGGAGGCCAAGCTCTACATCTCCATCTATGAGAACGATGAGGATAGCAACCACGACATACTGGAGCTTGCTAAGTTGGACTTTCACATCTTGCAGCAGATGCACCGAGATGAGGCCAGGAGATTCTCACTGTGAGTAAAACCGGTTATCCTTATTGCAAATTTTAGAAATGTAAAATAGATCTTAATTGTTTTTACAATACTTGAGTAGGAACCACAAAGTATCACATATATAGCTAGTTTTAATCTGTAATATCTTTTGGTATCTCTCTACATAAAGATAGTGGAGTGTAACACAAATTAATACTTAAAAAGTGTGGCACCTTTCTATACTATGTTGTTTTTATATATGCATTCTCAAAGAACCTTAAAAATGTTCTGTAAAATCTATGCGTGCATGCATGAAGAATAATTAATTATGACAAACTGGAATTGAAGGTGGTACAAGGAACTTAACGTTCGGAGCACACTGGGTCCATACATACGAGAGCGCCCAGTGGAGTGCTACTTCTGGTCACTTGGTGTTTTCTATGAACCACAGTATGCCAAGGCACGGATGATGTTTGCAAGACTTATCAAGATATTTTCCTTGTTTGATGATACATTTGATTCATATGGCACCTTGGAAGAGCTTCACCTGTTCAACAATGCTGTCCAAAGGTAATTACATGCTCCGTAAAAAAAAGATAAGCATTTCTATCACATTGATTCCAATCCACAGAAATATATACATTTTAAACCAATCAGTTGCATAGAAGGGGGATATAAGTAATTCAAAATTTAAAATGTGACCACTTGTGAGTAAAAAAGAGAATCTTTTTACTCAACCCTAAAAATGTTTTTTTACGAAGGGTATAAATTTATATCCTTGATTTCATTCGGATGTCTATATAAACTTCAGGTTATATAAGAAGACTTTACAGGTTACCATGAATTATTGGAATTAATCTACACTTTAATAGCCTTGGTTTTCAACTTTAAAATATTCTAAAATATTTTCTCAATTGGTCGACTATAGCTGGGATGAAGGAGGAGCAAAACAGATTGGTGATTACTTCGGGTATGTGATGTCCCTTCTTTCCAAGACACTCAACGAATTTGTGGTTGATGGTGCTTCACCATTGGGAATTGACTGTACCAAGAAGACGGTATGAGATCAATATGTTTCCCCAATGCTCACTTTACCGATGATTGAAAATGACCCCTTTAATCCTAATAACGTTTCTCTTTATACAATTCATATTTAGTTTCGATGAGATAACACTACTCATACATCCCAACTTTTTTTTCCTACAAATTTGTAACCCTGGTTGCATGGGTAGAAAGTAACTAGACTAATTTATCGAGATTTAGAATTACATCCAAACTGCTTTTTTTTGTCAAAATGAAAATATTTTGTAACATATATGCTATGCTTCTAAAATATATTGATTGCAACACCAATGATCACTATATGAAACAATAAATCATCCCAATGAGCAAAACATCAAAAATAGTATGAAACATATAATATATTGCAAAATACTTGATATCATTGGAACATTTTTATGTCATGCATGAAACATCGAGTTGTGACCGTTCAAACACCACCAAAAAATTAATGAAACATCCAAAAGAATACGTGCAATATTTGCAAATGACATAGTGAAACATTCAAAGAACACTGTGTGCAACATTCAAGAGATTCATTATAAAGAAAAATGAAAAAAATTAATTGGAATGTAATCATGTGAGATCTCATTGTAGAAGTTTAAATGCAACAAATACAATAATATAATCGATCGTAGATTGGGTACGTAGTTTACAAAAAAAAAGTATGAAAGCTTTAGTAATAAATTGCTCGTATATGGTTCGAAAAGAATGTTGGAGGGTACAACAATATGCATATCATGTTGGTATATGGTTAGAAAAGAGGGAGAGAGAAATAGAAAAGATCAGAGGGTGCCGTCGGGCATATAATTTTTCAGCTATAATAGGATGTCGGGATGAAAATATTCTCAAAAAGAAAAAAAAAAGAAAAATTGAAAAGGATGTCCGAATCCTTTTGCCTGGTCTAGTTTGATTAGCTTCATTTTCTGTACTAATGTTTTATCCAACGGTTGTATCAATTGTAGTATACAAATTTGTAATGATTTCCAGCTCTTTGTGTCCCTATTATTAAAGGGTACGTAATGACATTTTTTCCAAAATCACATGTAGATCAAGGAGGCAAGCAGATGCATGTTGCAAGAGATCATATGGAGAGAAGAGGGACAGGTGCCGCTATTACATGATCATCTCAAGTTCTCTACAATTAGCACGTTGTATTGGGCATTGGCATGCATATCTTTTGTGGATCATCGCATGGATGCAAACGATGACGTCTCTATTTTTTGTTGGGCAATCTCATCTCCAAAAATTATAGAGAATTCGGCAATGATAACACGCCTAATGGATGACATTTCCGGGCACGAGGTCAATACACATTTGACTTTACTGTATATATATAAGTGCAAATTGCCACAAAAATACAGCTAATACTACTCACAGCGTCAAAAATATAATTGACCAGAGGGAGTATAATATTTTCTCAAAGAAGAATATATATGACTTGTATATTTATGGTGAGAGCATTGATCAAATTTGTTTAAATTCCTTTTGGCAGTGGGAGAAAGACGGAGGTGGAGTCCCAACTGCGGTAGAATGCTACATGAAAGAGTATGGTGTGACAGTCCAAGAAGCCAAGAAAGCACTATGGTGCCTTGTAGAGGAGCAGTGGAGAAGCATCAATCAAGAGTTCCTGCGCAACACGACGGTCCCAGTCCCCCTGTTGACACGTGTGATAAACCTTGCACGGCTCATGGAAACCCTTTACAAGACGACCAATGGCTACACACACTGCTCGGGAGTTACTGACCTCATTTCCAATGTCCTGGACACATGCGTATCTCATTAATTGAGATGGGCAAACGTAAAAAAAACATGCATATATACATGATCCATATATATATATATATATATATATATATATATATATATATATATATATATATATATTCCTATATTATATTGTGCCACGTGGCGCCAGTCTATTCAGCTCGACGCATGCTCTCTTCATGCGGGAGCTTTTGTTCATGTGTTTGTACCCTGTTTCGTTGCACCATGCATGTTGTAGCCCTGCTTATTGTACGTGTCAAGTAAGCAATGAAAAAAAAACCCGAAAAGCTGTGCGGTTGTAGCAGCAAATGTTTACTGTGTTACATGTGATCTATTTCTGATTGATTGCATATTGTCGATTTTTCTAGGTGAAACTATCCATACTACCTAATACTTCGACCACCCAGTATTACGAATCCTCAATTATCATATTTTTGAATGGAGAGAGTACCATCAAGTTATATGTTTTGAAACAAATATTGAGAGAACACTGTGTGCAATATTTATAAACAAAGTAGTGGAACATCCAAAGATACTTATTGAGGCATCAAAATAATATCATGTGTAATATAAAGATCCATTGCACCGTAAACTTGAAATGTGCAGCAGAATCGAATTCTAATTGGAACATTTATTTCTTACATATGAAAGATCCGATTTCAACGTTGAAAAACATATTTATTTTTCATTGGAACATAATCAGGTGAGATCTTAGTGTAGAGATTTATTTGTAACAAATACACGATGTAATTAGACTACAATTTAAGAGAAAAAATATTTGAAATACAAACACTACGCCAGATCCTCACACCTCTGACGGGATACCTGTGACGGGCAAACGAATTGGTCAGTAGTGACCATTACCTTTGACGGGTTATACGGGATGCCGTCACCGGTGAGGCATCTGGCCGCGGCCCGTCACAGGTATCCCCTCACCTGTGACGGGCCGAAAGGAAAACCCGTCAGAGGTATACCAGTGACGAGTTTTTCTTCCAACCCGTCACTGGTATCCCCTCACCTGTGACGGGCCGATACATTAGAAGCCGTCAGAGGTGATGGGCCGCCACCTGTGACGGCTTTCATTTCTGGCCCGTCACAGGTGAGCGGATACCAGTGACGGGCCATTGAATAGAAGCCCGTCAAAGGTATGAGCAATACCTTTGACGGGCTTTTTTTATCTAACCCGTCTGAGGTGTGTTGGGTCTATAAATACCCCCAAACTGCCAACTGCTTTCCATCCCGACCATTGTACTGTTCACAAATCGGTTGGGAGGGCAAGGGGGGCGATTTTTTGCTAAAATTCAAAGTAAAAAACACATTATTCTCCATTCATTCTCAACATATCGATCATCATTATTTTTCTTCGTATGTTGTTGATTTCAGATGGATCGTAGATGGATGTACTATGCGCATCGTTCGTCTACCGAGTATAGAGAGGGGGTCACTGAATTTGTCACATTTGCGGATAATGACAGAAAAAGTAGGATGAGCATGCACATGTTGTGCCCATGTAGGGACTGTAAGAATGAACAGATGATCGAAGACAAGGATGAAGTGCATGCTCATTTGATAATGAATGGATTCATGAAGAAATATACCTGCTGGACCAAGCATGGAGAGCAAGAGGCGCCTGATGTCGCAGCTGAAGAAGTGTTGGATCAGGATGTAGAGAACACCGCCGCAGCTCGAGAAGGCATGTTCGTACCTTCTCCTTTAGGTGGAGAGACCATAGATTTGGACACTCAATGTCTATCTACAATGTTGCATGACATTGAAGACGCAGAGGACAACGACAGAGATTATGAGAAGTTTAGTAAGTTGGTGGAAGATTGCCAGATGCCGTTGTATGATGGATGCAAGTCGAAGCACAGCAAGTTGTCATGCGTGTTGGAACTGATGAAGCTTAAGGCTAGTAATGGCTGGTCGGACAAGAGTTTTACAGAACTCCTTGAGCTGTTAAAGGATCTGTTGCCAGAGGGGAACAATTTACCTCAGACGACATATGAAGCGAAGCAAGTATTATGTCCGTTAGGCCTGGAGGTCAGAAGAATTCATGCATGTCCGAACGACTGCATTTTGTATTACAAGGAATACGCTGACTTGGATGTCTGCCCTATCTGTGGGGGATCAAGATACAAACGAGCAAAGAGTGAAGGTGAAGGAAGTAAGTCAAAGAGGGGAGGCCCAGCAAAGGTGGTGTGGTATCTCCCAACTGCGGAGCGCATGAAGAGAATGTTTGCGAACAAGGAACAAGCTAAGCTTGTGCGCTGGCATGCCGAAGAACGGAAAGTCGATACTATGCTGAGGCACCCAGCAGATTCAGTGCAGTGGAGGACAATCGATAGGATTTACCAGGAATTCTCAAATGACCCAAGAAACATGCGTTTCGCAATGTGTACGGACGGCATTAATCCTTTTGGTGATTTGAGCAGTCGTCACAGTACATGGCCAGTTCTGCTTGTTAACTATAACCTTCCTCCCTGGTTGTGTTTCAAAAGAAAGTACATTATGCTTGCCATGCTCATTCAAGGACCGAGACAACCGGGCAACAGATATCGATGTGTTCCTTGAACCGATAATCGATGACTTCGAAAGGCTATGGAATGAGGGCACACGAACATGGGACGCATATGCACAAGAGTATTTCAACCTCCATGCGATGCTGTTTTGTACCATCAACGAGTATCCGGCCCTTGGCAACCTTTCTGGCCAAACTGTGAAAGGGAAATGGGCGTGTTCGGAGTGTATGGAGGAAACAAGAAGCAAATGGTTGAAGCATTCACACAAGACGGTCTACATGGGTCACAGGAGATTTCTCCCAAGGTATCACCCGTATAGGAATATGAGAAAGAATTTCAATGGACACAGAGATACAGCCGGACCCCCGACAGAGCTAACAGGGACAGAGGTGCACAACTTAGTGATGGGAATAACCAACGAGTTTGGAAAAAAGAGGAAAGTTGGAAAGCGAAAAGAGAAGAGCACATCGAAGGAAAAAACAGAGGAGCATGTGGAAAAACAAAAGACAAAAGAGAGGAGCATGTGGAAAAAGAAGTCAATATTCTAGAGACTACCATACTGGAAGGATCTTGAAGTTCGCCACGGCATAGATTTGATGCATGTCGAGAAGAATGTATGCGAGAGTTTAATGGGATTACTGCTTAACCCAGGTACTACAAAGGATGGTCTCAACGCCCGACGAGATCTGGAAGATATGGGTGTTCGGTCGGAGCTACATCCCATAACCACGGAATCCGGCAGGGTTTACCTTCCTTCAGCCTGCTACACTCTCTCGAAAGAAGAGAAGATTGATTTGCTAACATGTTTGAGTGGTATAAAGGTTCCATCTGGTTACTCATCAAGAATCAGTAGGCTCGTTTCACTGCAAGATCTTAAGTTGGTTGGAATGAAGTCGCATGATTGCCACGTTCTTATCACACAGCTGTTGCCCGTTGCAATAAGGAATATTTTGCCTCCTAAGGTGCGACACACGATCCAGCGGTTGTGTTCCTTCTTCCATGCAATCGGCCAGAAGATCATTGATCCCGAGGGACTAGATGAACTACAGGCAGAACTTGTGAGAACCCTATATCATCTTGAGATGTACTTTCCTCCAACTTTCTTTGACATAATGGAACATCTTCCGGTGCACCTTGTGAGGCAAATAAAGTGCTGTGGTCCAGCATTCATGACGCAGATGTATCCTTGCGAAAGGTACCTGGGGATCCTTAAGGGTTATGTACGGAACCGTTCACACCCCGAGGGGAGTATCATCGAGAGTTACACCACCGAAGAGGCCATCGAATTTTGTGTGGACTACATGTCAGAAACATCTTCAATTGGATTACCACGATCTCATCACGAAGGGAGGCTTGACGGTGTTGGTACTGTTGGAAGAAAGACTATTAGGTTGGGTCGGAAGGTGTACGATAAAGCTCATTTCACGGTACTACAGCATATGACTGAGGTGGTGCCGTACGTTGACGAACACCTTGCAGTTATCCGACAAGAGAACCCAGGCCGATCAGAGAGTTGGGTCAGGAATAAGCACATGTCTTCTTTCAACGAGTGGCTGAAGAACCGAATTGCCAGGTTGCAGAACTTGTCTAGTGAAACACTTCAGTGGTTGTCACAGGGTCCTGAATGGAGTGCCACCACCTGGCAAGGATATAACATAAATGGATACACCTTTCACACGGTAAAGCAAGACAGCAAATGCACAGTGCAGAACAGTGGGTTACGCATCGAGACTGCTAGTGACGGTGGTCGTCGTGATCAATACTATGGTAGAGTTGAGCAAATATTGGAGCTAGATTACTTGAAGTTCAAAGTCCCGTTGTTTCGTTGTCGATGGGTCGATCTTCGCAATGTAAAAGTTGACAATGAAGGTTTCACCACTGTCAACTTGGCTAACAACGCGTACAAGGATGAACCGTTCGTTCTCGCCAAACAAGTTGTTCAAGTGTTCTACATAGTTGACCCGTGTAACAAGAAACTACATGTAGTTCGTGAAGGGAAAAGGAGAATTGTTGGATTGGACAATATTGCAGACGAGGATGATTACAACCAGCACGTCCACGGCATAGGTCAAGAAATACCTCTAGAAGAGGAGGAGGAAGAAGATGAAGTTCAATATGCACGTGTCGACCATGCGGAAGGATTATTTTTGTAATTTATGTACGTAGTTTATGTCTACATGTCTGTTATCTGTATGACTCTAATATGTTCGCAATGATCAATAGTATATTGCTTATGAAATAGTCAAATAAAATAATTAAGTGAAGCACCCACTAGAAGTGAAAATATGTTAAGGAAAATAAAAGAACTAAGTGAAATAAAATAAAATAAAATTGCTCTAGGCAAACTCACCTGTGACGGGCTCTATCTGTAGGGCCGTCACAGGTGACCTCACCTGTGACAGCCCAGAGTGTTGGGCCCGTCACAGGTGGTCTTACCTGTGACGGCTCCACGGTTGGCGCCGTCACAGGTGAGGCCACCTGTGACGCCACATAGTTGGCGCCGTCACAGGTGATTTTGACTAGGGTTGACCTAGGGTAGGACATCTTCTAGATCGATCCAGATCCGGCACCCACTCTCACTCACTCACTCTCTCGACCGCCGCCTCCTCGCCGCCTCCTTCTCCACCGCCGCCTCCTCACTCACTCTCTCGACCGCCGCCGTCCTCTCCACCGCCATCTCCACCGTCGCCGCCTCAACCTCTCCTCCGCCCTCTCCGCCGCCATCTCCGCTGCCCTCTCTGCCGCCATCTCCGCCCTCTCCGCCGCCGCCTCCACCGCCGCCCTCGCCGC